GAAATACATGTTTTTCTGTGGTCGCCCCCACACATTGAGAACTGATATTCTAGAACCATGTCTACCTTGGCTCTCCTCACCAGTCACTCCTGGAGAGCCCAGAGCCAGCCTGTACCTGTACTGCAGCCTTAGCGTTACAGGAGTTCAATACCAGAGGTTCAGGGCTAGCCTGAGAACTCTCCTGTTGCCCGTTGCTTTACTTTCCTCAGAGAGTGGTGAGAGTGAGGGCACCTGCTTCTTCTCCTGCTCCTAACCAGGGGAGAGCCAGGGAATCCGAGTCTTCATGGATCCCACAAGCACACTGAGTGGTGAGAGAACTCTGGCTCCCAGGTTTCTCCACAGCACATCCAGTTGTGCCCACCTCCTGTGGCCCTGAGAGAATGTTCTGGGTTCACATGCCCAACTTTACCCAGCATTCCCTTGGCCTCTGCTTCCCCAGCCTGACCTGTGAGAGCACACTCAGCTGGAATGCCCAGGCTTGGGTAAGGGTGGGGCTCATCTTCAAGAGACTCCTGGTTCAGAGAGGATCACAGAGGCTTGAAGGGTCCCTCTTCCAAGTAGTTCTGGTGACCTTATGGCCCACTGGTAGTGACAGAAACGGCTCATGTGAGCTGAGAGATGACCCTGCCTGCCGTCACAGGATGTGAAATGGACTTCTCGGCACCCGCCCTTCTGACAGGCAGCTCTTGACCGTCCTCACCAGGCTATGTTGCTCTAAGGTGCGTAAGAATCCTGTTGCCAAGCGAGTAAGTAAAAGGGCAGTATTCTAGGGAAGGACTACTCAAGACAAGGCTCAGCAGCCAAGAGCACCTGCTGCCTGTAGAGGATCAGAAGTCATATAAATAAAAAATGAAAACAAAGCCAGGTGGTGGTGGTGCAAGCCTTTAATCCCAGCACTCAGAAGGCAGAGGCAGGCGGATCTTTGTGAGTTTAAGGTCAGCCTGGTCTACAGAGAGAAAGAACTGGAGGACAGCCAAGACCACACAGAGAAACCCTGTCTCGAAAAACCAAAGTTTATTAATTTTGCTTCATTTAATTAAACTTTTAAAACAAGACTTTTTTGGGGGGGGGGGAAGAGGATTGATGCCATAATTCAATGGAGTGCTTTCCTCGATGCAATCTTGAGTACCGCAGACCATCATTAACATCATGACGTCATCATCGTCGTCATCATCGTCATCATCATCATCATCACGGACTGGCAGAGACAACTCAGCGTGTAAAAACATAAAGGCACCTGCCGCCAAACATAAAGGATTTGAGCCCTGGGATCTGCATAGTGGAAAGAGAGAGAAAAAGTTCCCTAAAGCTGTTTTTGTGATATCCACATTGACGACATTGTACACGTACACACACACACACACACACACACACACACACCAAAAAGGCGTGATGGTCAAGAAGATCTGTAATATCAGCACTTAGGAGGTCGAGGGAGGAGAATCGGGGTTCAGGATCGACCATCCTCTGCTACATAGCTGTTTAGGGCAAGCCTTAGCGACAGGAAACTGACTTTAAAAAATAATTTTTTTCTTTCTCATCTTCCAGAAGCGGCGGGCGGGGTGTATTCTAAAAAGGCAGAGGAGGGAAGGCGACACAGTCCATGCCAGGCTGAAGTGTTGCTCTAGGAACCGGGGCAGGGCATGGCTTAGGGAAGTGCAGGTAGGAGCGCTGGATACTGCAGCGCCCCCTACTGAGCACCTGGAGGCAGCGTGCCTCTCCCGCTGCAGAACCGGTCTCACCGTGTAGGGCAGCGGGCACTTGCTGGCCGCACCTGCCCCCCTGGGTGCCCAGCTCTGGCCGTTAGCCCACCTTTGGGAGCTCCAGTAGCACACCCTGTAGTCATGCGCGGGCCGGGCCAGCAGCTGATGATGATCAACGACGTGTATGGGCTGGAATCTGCTTCTTAGAAGGTGAAGGCTAGCCAGCCTGGTCTACAGAGTGAGTTCCAGGACAGCCAGGGCTACACAGAGAAACCCTGTCTCGAAAAAAACAAAAACAAACAAACAAACAAAAAGAAGGTGAAGACTGACTAGGCCACAGACTAGAGCAGAGTCCATCCTGTGGCCAGCAGCGCTCACCTGGCAGGGTCCGGGGGACAAGATGACCCTGAACTGACATGGGCAAGGCTAACGCGGCTCTGAATCCCTTTGTTGAATAAAGTTTCTGCATTTATGGAAGCTTGAGTGGTCCTTGCCACCAAGGGAGTGCCCGGGACTCCCTGGACCTCCTTTCAATTGTCCCCACATTGGGCCCTAGAGGCTCACTAAGCAGGGAATTGGAAAGGGAGGACACTTTCTAGGTAGAAGGACCAAAGTCATGAGAACGAGGGTGGCAGGGACGGTCTTACAAAGATGGGCACAGCTACACTTGAAAGGGGTGGGGCGTTACTGCCTCTCTTGCATTTCCTGGTCCTTCTCCAGCCACCTCCTGCTCCCCATCTTCCTGGCCTGGCCTCCACCTTCCCTCACAAAGCGAAGGCTGCCTGAGAAGATGGTCTGTTTATTTCATTTTAGTTAATGTATTTATTCTCTTGAGCGGGACTGGAGCTTAACCCCAGGGCTTGTGCATGCTAATGGCTTTACCAATGTGGCAGCTCGCCACAGCTTTCTCCCTGTGGAGTGTCTAAGATTACAGACCAGACCTGCCTATAACACTTGACCCAGCTAATGACAGTCATTGGGTGGGGGTCGGGAGAGGGGTTGCTGGAGAGACGGATCAGAGTACTTAAGTTCTTAAACTCAATTCCCAGCAGCGACACGGTGACTCACAACCATCTGTAATGGGATCTGAATCCCTCGTTTTGTGTGCATGAAGACAGAGCCTTCATACATAAAATACATGAGTGAACAAATCATTTTTAAAAAGAGAGAGTAAAATCAATTTAAAGGAGGAGAGGGAAGAGGAGATGATGATGATGATGGTGATGATGGTGATGATGGTGATGATGATAATGACAATGATGATTCCGGGAGGCACCGGCAGCCTCAAGAAAAGGTGAAGAGCACAGAAAATGTTTCTTTTTAGCAAGCCAGGAGATAGAACTCCAGTAAGGTGGACCCCCTAAAGTCCTGTGGGAGAGCCACAGCCAACCCCAGTGGCTTCTGTTTCCTTCTGTACAGCTACTGACATACACTTTCCAAAAGGTTTAGCCTTTGCTGACTTGAATCTCACTGGTGGTATCAAACTCAGGGAGACCTGCCTGCTCCTGCCTGGAGTGCTGAGACTGAAAGTGTGCATGCCATAGATAGCAATCAGTTAGTTTTTTAATTATAATTTTTTTCCCTAAGGACGGAGATATAGCTCAGTGGCAGCTAAAGCATTGTCGAAGTCCTGGACTCAGTGCCCAATGCTACAAAAATAAACGAAATTAATGTTAGTCTGTGTCTCATACACAGATGAGGAGTGTTTATTAATAATTTTTTCTTATGTATTGTGGTTTTGTGAGTGTGTGTGTGTGTGTGTGGCTTTGCTCCCAGATATCATGTAGCCCAGGCTGTTCTTAAACTCAGTATGTAACAGAGGACGGCCGTGAGCATTATCTGTGCTCTCCTTGGCCCCATCTCCTAAGTGGGGTTACGGGCACAAACCGTCACCCCTGATTTTGTGTGCTATTAGGGGTAGAACCCAGGCTTCATATATGCTAGGAGGCTCTCTACCAACGGAGCTGTGCCTCCAACCTACTTGCGAAATCTTTGCCTTAGTTTGGGGTCGTGGTTCAGACTTCCCAGCTGGACTTCAACGGTGCTACCGCTGTGTGACCCAGAACAAATTCCTTTGCCCTCTATGCCTCAGTTTCCTCGTGGGGAGGGGTCTTTCTATGTAGTTCTGATTGTCCTGGACCTTGCTGTAAAGACCAGGTTGGCCTTGAACTCACAGAAATTCTCCTGCCTCTGCTTCCCGAGCTCTGGAGCCACCACACCCAGCCAAGCTTTCATTTTGTGAGTGAGACTGAGAATCTGAGCCGTGCAGGTAGCGAGAAGCTTGAGCCTGGGCCTGAAGCCCCCCCTCCATGCATCTGATTGGCTGACTCTCCCTCCTCTCTGAAAGCAAAGCTCAGATCCCATTGCCTTCAGGAAGGGTCTCTGAAGCTCTCTCAATCTGCCTCACCCCTTGGAGATGCTTCCACACATCCGTCTGCACATACACCCAGGGATACAGGCACGTCCGCAGTCACCATGAGCTTCTGCATTGATCCCTATTGGCAAACGGTCCATCTGCTGAACTGCTGGCTCCTTTTTGTGTCTGTATGTGTGTGTTGTGTGTGTGTGTTGTATATGTTTGTATGTGTGTGTACATGAATGTTAGGGAAGTCATACACATACATACATGTGGAAGGCAGAGACTGACCGTGGGTGTCTTGGGGGGAGGTGGTTTCTATTACTTATCTTGTAAAGCAAGATCTCTTTCCTGAAGCTAAAGCTTGCAGCTTTGGCTTGACTAGCTGGCCAGTGAGCACTGAGGAGTATCCTGACTCTACCCCTCCTGCCTTCTCCCAGTGCTGTGGTTACAGACTTGCACCAGATTTTGTGCAGGTTCTGGGGACCCAAACTTAGCTTCTCCTTCTTAAACAGCAGACACTTTATCCACTGAGCCATCTCTGTCACTCCTCCAGGTTCCCCTTTTTTGATCCCCTAGTGCAAAGAGGAGCCTGGTGAGAATAAGCCGTTGGCAAATGTGTAACAGGCTCCCTTACACAACCAGAGACATTTGGAGCGATGTTGGGCCAGCAGATGAGAGCCGGGTGTGCCCTGGTGGGGAGCACAGTACGCAATGGTGGTCTCTGAGCTGACACTGAGATTATAGCTTAGGGTTTTTGTAAGCAGGCCCCAAATCCTTGCCAGATCTACTTCTACCCACCCTTCATTTTGGATCACAGAACTCTCTCAGACCCAAGGATTACACTTGGACAGAGTTCATGCAGATGTTGTGTTTATTAGTGGGCTCAGTTTGGAAGTACCTGACACAAACTGCTTCAGTCTGTGTGGCTACATGCCTTATTATGAACATGTACTGTCTAAAGTTCCCCACAAAAACTTAATGCCCTTTATCCCGCCTGGCACATAATAGCCACAAACCCCCTTTAACACATAGATGGGCTTTTTAGGGAAGCTAGAGTAGTCATCTCTGCCCCGGAAGCTCCCCAACAATATCTGCCGACCCAGGTCAGTAAGTAAGATAACTTGATTTACAAATGCAGAGGTTGTGCCGAAGACCCCGACAATGTTCTCGTTTTCCAGTTCGACTTCCGCTTCATTCCCTCCAGAACCGCCATATACTTTACCCCATTCTTGGCCAAATCTAAGCTGAATTCTAGGAAAGAGGAAAAGTTTTGAATATCCATTAAGACAGTGCATGACCCGCCTTCCCAGGTCCTTGGTACCTCCCTCCTCCCCCCCCCCCTTTCTTTTGGCTTCTTGAGACATACTAAAAAAAAAGAAAATGCCACTCCCAAATACTGTGATCTGAAGCTCACTACTCAGGATGAGAAGGCTCAGTTCCCTCATGCACACAGGAGACATCACAAGCAGAGAAGACCTTGGGAAGCTGCTCACTGAGACCTTCAAAAGAAGGAGCTCCTGTCCTGGGGCACTGACCCTGGCCAAGCTGGGACTTCCTCAGCCTAGGTCACTTATAAGCAGCAGATCACACAGTAGGTGCCTTCTAATATCCCATTGGAGATTCACTCTGATCCTCGCCTCCTTAGACTCTAACCTGACAGAGAAGATTTTGCTATCAAGTTTGAGGCCTGAGGGACCTTTCTTGGTTGACTTCAGTAAGAAGAAGCATCTCCAACCTCTTTGATCAACCCAAGAGGCAACAGCAGGAATTTACAAATGGAGTCTGTCAGGATAGGCCTGTGCGCAGGAAAGGTAACTGGAGACAGGGACAAGCCAAAGGTTTGGCTGGTAGCTCTATGACTGTGTTTATCAAATGACTGTAAAGAGCCATTAGAAGCCAGATGGAGATTCCATGGGGAGAATAGAAGTGGACCATCTACATGGGTTCCTGAAGCCACTGGAAGAATTGGGACCCGGTGGTAGGGGCCATGACCCCAATCCTACTTACCTAGCAATTGCCAAACCTTTAACAAATGCCCGAATTCCTGTTACATTTTTTCCTTCAGGTGCACTAGTGCAGAAATGTTTTCCACTTTCTAAACCATGATAACCTGGGTGGATAAACACCCCAGAGGGAGAAAACCCAGTCAGCCATGTGGAGGAGCTGTCTTCCCGCCCTTGAAGCTAGGAAGATAGTCCTGTGACAATAGTTAGTCTGTGGCAAAGGCTGGGAGTAGTCCCCATGTCTCCTGGGTTGAGAGAGATGAGGTGATCACTAGAGAGAGAGAGGCAGACTTTAGACTTGACTTACTTTCTGTCAAAACGACAGGGGTCCCCAAGAAGGCAAGAATCAGTAAGGGCAGCATGGCCTCCAGCTGGAACATCTGAAAGTCTGAGGGAAAGAGCAAAGACCACCCAACTTCTAGACAGGGAGTCAGCTGCATTTGCCATGCCCACCCCTGGGAGCCACACACCTTACCTGGCTGAGAGAATTCGCCTTGGGTATCTTGTGCCTGGACCTCTTTCCCCTCTCCTTATATGCTCCTGGAGCCTCTTGGGCCCCTGTCCAGAAGGAAGGAGCCACAGGCCACCAGATAGACAGGAAGGAGCTGGTGGGGGGTCTCTTCCTGGGGGAGTTCTCAAAGCCATCTGGGGAGGCTCCCGGACACACTGTGTTTGCCGACTTGGCACTGCAACCTACGTCAACAGGGCTGGTGACAGTGACAGGCGTTTATTTCCATTGTCACCTCTGGGCTCTCTCTCACAGGCATCTGGTCAGATCTTGACTTTAGAAGTTGGAGAGGTTTGCTGAGAGCCCTTTCCCAGCTCAGATTTCAACCCTCTAAGTGGCAAAGGTACAGATCTCAGAAACACTCCAGAGCAGGCCTCTTATTGAGGGGCCTAGGCAGGTCCTCGGTCTGGCACACTTCCCAGAGCCCCTGCAAGCTCCCTGCCAACCTCAGAAAGCCAGTGCCAAATCTTGCTCCTTCTAGCCTGCTTAAAGAACAAACAAGAGGCATTTTGATAATAGTTACTTGACCTGTCAGTCAGCTATCTGTAGTGGCCTCTCTCCTATGCTGGATTTAGGTATAGTAAGGATGAACAGATGGGAAAGGACTCAGAGGTCATGAGATACAGATACCCAAGACATAACTGTAGCCATAAAAGGCAGAAAGTAAAATCTCTTGTCCAACCCATCTGGCAGCACCTAGGACCAGTCTGAGGTGTGTGTGTGTGTGTGTGTGTGTGTGTGTGTGTGTGTGTATTACCGGGGATTGAACCCAGACTACCAATACATTTGGCAAGTGCTCTACTATTGAGCTATTTAAGGACCTTTCCCTCTCTGTTACTGTGTACGTGCATTCAGAGTTGGGAGTGCGTGAGTGTGTGTGCACATGTTGATGGACATCAAATGTCTTCTTCCTCTTCCTCCTCCTCCTCTTCCTCCTCCTCCTCTTCTTCCTCCTCTTCCTTGTCCTCCTCCTCTTCCTCTTCTTCCTCCTCCCCTTCTCTTCTTCTTCTTCCTCCTTCTCTTCCTCCTCCTCTTTCTCTTCCTCCTTCTCCTCTTCCTCCTTTGGTAGAATCTTTGTATTATGACCCTGACTGGCCAGGACCTCGAAATATAGACTAGATTTACATCAAATGGATAGAGATCTACCTCTGCTTCCCAAATGCTGTGACTAAAGGCCTGGTTTTCCACACCTAGAATTTTCCTATTTTTTAATTTATATATATATGTATATGTATGTGTATGTGTGTGTGTGTGTGTGTGTTGCCTGCATATATGTCTGTGTGCTACTTTTATGCCTGGTACTCTTGGAGGCCAGAAGAAGGCATCAGATTCCCTGGAACTGGAGTTATAGAGAGTTGTATTGGTGCTGGGAGTCCAACCCCAGTCCTCTGGAAGAGCAACCAGTGTTCATAGTTGCTGCACCACTTCTACAGCCCTTTATTCCTATGTTTTTGAGAGCATCTCTCACTAAACCTAGAGCTCACTGATTTGGTTAGACTGGCTGGTCAACAGGCTGCAAGGATGTCCTGTCCCCGCTTCCCCTGCACTGCTGTTACAAGCATGCGCTGATGCACCCAACCTTTTTACACGGGCGCCAGGAATCAAACTCAGACCCTTACTGCTTGATGGCATGTGTTTTACCAACTGAGCCATCTCCATGTCTTCTCCTCAAACCCCAAGAGCCCTCTATCTGGGTGGTGATATTCTCCAGGGCTTGGGTGCAGGGTAGCTTCCCTCTGTCTGATATACTTCTCTCTGTTTATCCTCTATCTGCCCCTACTCAGCCTCTTCTTGAAGGAAGACCTATGAAAGGAACACAAAAAGGTATTTGTCAAGACTTCATGTTGGTGACTGAAAAGCATCCCATTGGAATGGTGTGGGAAGATGGGATCGGGAAGGATAATTATGGAGGAGGCTATTTGGTACCCAACCTGGGGCAGAGAGCAGTTTTAGAAAGGGCATCGCCAGGATTTCTGGAAATAGTACAAGGTCATGACTGCAGATATGGTATAGAAGCCAGACTTGATGCAAAGCCCAGCTTCAGGAGGGATGTGATGGGTGAACCGGGTCTCTGCTGTGCTTCGAGCCTTTCATCTGGTATATCTGGAAAATCACAGAATCCACCCTCAGTGTTACTGTGAGACTCCACAGAGATTTTCCACCTCAATACCAGATGTCTATGTTGTACAGGTCAAAGTCATGATATGGAAAGGACAAAAGCCTAGAAATAACAGATGCATGTCTCTAGGATAACAGAAGGCCAATACCATGGTGACCCCCTGCTCCGGAGCACTGAGGTGAGGGGTCGCGGGAAGGAGTGTGATTCTCCACACCCTGCCTCCCTTCTTGGTGAATGGATTGAGAGCAAGTCAATGTGTCTTGATGCCCTCATGTGTCACAAGGGGCTGCAAAAAATGGCCTTGCCAGGAACTAGAGACATTGGTCTCATGGGGTTGGCAGTGAGGGATGGGCTTCAGAATTGAGAGGGACCTCCATTTTCTGAGCCAGGAGATCCTAATACCTGTACAAGAGACGGGAAAGCTAGAGACTCAGAGGCCACAGTAGCCTGCCCTGTGTTTCTGAGCTGAGGACATTTTTCATGTGTTATAATCATCAAAAAAGTTTAAAAAGCAGAAAAATATTCTGTGACTCATGACAGTTTTCAGGGTTGGAGTGATGGGTTTCTTAGTGGTTGAGAGCATGAACTGCTCTTACAGAGGACCAGATTCTGTCCCCAGCAGCCACATCAGGAGGCTCACACCACTTACAATTCTAGCTCCTGGAGATTAGATGGCTTCTTCTGGCTTCCAAGAATACCTATGCTCACATGACTATAATCCCCCACCCCTGCTCGGACATGTGCACATGCACACAAGTGGACATGTAATTAAAAATAAATCTTTCCCTTTTTGAATACCAGGTCTTACTATGTAGCCCTGGCTGGCCTAGAACTCACTAAATACAGTAGGCTAGCCTCCTACTCCCAAAAATCTGTTTGCCTCTGCCTCTCCAGTGCTGAGATTAAAGACCTGCACTACCATACCTGCCAGAAAAAAAAGAAAAAGAAAAAGATTTCTGTAATCTTTATGCCTTCTTTCTCCCAAGGTCAAGAGTCAGAGAGCACTTGTCTGCTGTCTGCACTGCTTCTGGCTCACAAAGCAGACTGCGGTGTTATCTGCTCTCTCACACAATCTGCCGATCCTGTACAAACTCCTTACCCTGGAGCAATTACAGCTTCATCCCTGGCTGGCTGGACAAAAGAGTGTAAGGGGTTCTGCTCAATAGCTATCTTTGATGGGGGCTAGGAAGAGGCTCTCGGACTCGCACACCTGCACTTAGATCTGAGTACTGCACTGTCTCCCTAGGGAGGCTCAGAGACTGTCAAGCCCCATTGACAGATGCTGCGGAGGTAAGCACCCATTCTTTCGCCCTCCCACCCCTCCTTACACCTCTACCCTGCAGACACCGTGGAGGCTTGCCTGGGGACAGAGCAACAGATTCCTTCCTGATGCCCCAGGAGGATCCTTGGGGAGGTGGAGGCGGAAGGGCCTAAGCTCTTGGCAGACACACTCTTGGAGCTAGGGGCCTGGAAGGGAACACAAAGGGGGCTTGTGTTCTGTCCCAACCCAGCCCAAGGGCACTTTTGTGGGCTTGTTGTCACTTCAAATGCCAAAAGGAGGGTCTGGCTGGCTGAGGTTCAAGGAAGCACCCCTTGAGTGGAGGGTAAGGGAGAAGGAATAGACTGTGGCTAGCCTGGCCAGAGGGCATTGTGGGACATGTCCAGCTGCACAGGTAAGGAATATTTCCATGGTGTTGGTATGTAGTAATAGCTATCACATATTCATACACCTACACATCAAAATACAGACTCACCCAGCTACACCCACATTGAACAGATAGAGTCCTCACATGTACAGGGGGTATGGGGGGGTCCAATATCAAAAAAAGTCTTTCTCTGTAACCCCTCAGTTACAGAGTTGGCTCTGAGCCTACACTAAGGAATGCTCAACACAGGCCTTTTGTCCCTCAGGATCAGGACTCCCCCAAAGGGGGATTTACTGGGCATTTATCAACTGCCCTGGGCGCAGCTCAGGCTGCACTGTGCCAGGGATGGAACAATGAAGCCTTCTCCTTCAACAGAGGTGGACCTTGGCCTCCTGAGTCTGTACGGTAGGAGGTGGTTATAACACACAGATCTGGGCTCCTTCCTCCCCTGATATACGACTAGAAAAGACTCCTCTGGACACTCTGGATAACTGGGTCTCCATCTGCAGCCCACTCAGAGCCATATCCACGGCCCCATGCCAGCCAACTACAAGAAGCTTCTATCCTCACTGAGAGGCTAGATCTTGGGTCTCTGGCTATGGTCTTGGGAAATTTTGGCCAGGGTGTGATTGCTGGGGCCAAGGAGGAAGCTGGAGCCTCCACATATCCCCAGCTGATCCTGGCACTACAGACAAGACTGGTGGGAGGGGAAGGGGAAGGACCAGAAGCCAAATGGCATATCTGCACAACGAGGGACAGAGGCTGTCCTTGTACAGAGACTCATGTCAACACTGCCGGGAAAAGAGACTAAGAAGCAACCAGGATTGGGGAGGCAAATTATTTCTATATTACCGAAAGACCCAGCAACCTTCGCCAAAATCCCTACTGGGTGCCTCTCTCTGTGCTAAGCATTTTTGGTACACTCTGACCCAGAAAATTCTTTAAAACACTGTATTAGAAAATGAAAGTGCCAATCACATGTTTTACATCATCATTAACATAATTAAAATTCCATCTGTGGGTCAGTGAGATGGCTCAGTGGATGGTGGGGCTTGCCACCAAGCCTGCCAAGCTGTGTTCTATCCCAGGACCCACATGATAGGCAGA